CCACGACGCCGCGCTGGGGTGCACAGGCGCTGGGGTGCACAGGCTTCTGTGGCCACCCCATGATAGCAGACGATGCGCGGCGTCGCGTACACCTGGAGCTGGACACGCAGCAGGTGCATGTTGAAGCCGAAAGCCTCGGCCCGTTTGGCCAATGGCGCCCACGGGATGTATTCGTAGGCCGTAGACAGGTCCATGAGCACGGTGCACGCCGCCTGGCCGCGGTGAGTCGCCACCTCAGCCGTGGCGGCCTGGATCCAGACGCAGGTCTCGCAGCTCAGACCTGCCGCGCCGTAGATGAAGTCCCGACGGTGGAGAAAGGCCCAGCTGGAGCCTGTGGTGTTCCTCGTCCACCGAGGAAGGGCCGTGGGGCACCTGGAACCAGCCCGATGGCGCGAACTCCTCCTTCAGGCTTGGGCAGGAGGACCATCTGCATCGCTGCCAGGGCCTTCGGCACGTGCCCTAGCTCCAGCATGCGCCGCCAGAGCTCGATGCAGGCCTCGAGCGCCTCGTCGCACTGCACGGCGACGTGGCGCGGGTGGAAGGCGTCGCAGCCCAACTCCGTGACGCGGGAGAAGGAGTGCCCGACCTGGCGCAGCTCCTCGACGATGGGCAGGCGTGGGAGGTCGCCCATGTCCAGGGGCCAGGCGACCGCCGCACGTCCACCGCCTTCGCCCCACAGCGCGTGCCACGGGCGCGCCGCCGCCTCTGCCACCAGCTGCGCCGACTGGAGGCCCGCGGAAGGCCGCCAGCGGTCGGCAGCCCAAGGCGCCGCCTCGCGGAACCAGCGGGAGCCCTTCCGCACGCCGTCGCCGACGGTGGCTTCGCGGGACCAGTCCAGCCAGGCCTTGCAGCGGCGGTAGGCCGAACGGCCCTCGGCGGCGCCTGCCGCCTGCTGGAAGTCGTCCAGGAGCGCGCCCACCGCGGGCTGCTCAAAGAAGTTCAACCTGCGGACGAGGCGGCGCCACGACTGCCAGAGCGTCGGGTCCGCGCCCGCCACGGGCGGCGCGAAGCGGATCAGCTCCACCTGGATGCGCCTGGCGTGCTGGCGGCTGCCCGACCGTCGGAGGACACACCACTCGCGCACGCTGACGCGCTCGCACAACATGGGATCCCACTGTAACCTTGCAGTTCAAAATCCACCAGTACCTCGGACAAAAAAACTTGTTTGTTCGTTTGTGTTGTTCCTCGCCTTGGGGTTGGCTGTCCAAACACAGGGAAGCTCTGGTTCCAGGATTTCCGAACATGTGTTGTGTTTGTTTCCCGCCTTGGCTTTTGCTGTCCAGGCACGGGGAAGCGCAAGGCCGATGAAGATCGATAAAGCTGTTTTCGAAATTCGGCCCCATGAGAATACACCCGCCGGCCTTGAACTTCCCTGTGCCTGGACAGAAAAAGCCAAGGCGGATAACAAAAACTAGCAAATGCTTGTAAATCCTGGAATCAGAGTTTCCCTGTGCCTGGACAACCAAAACCAAGGCGAGGACCAACAAGAAAACAAACCACAAATCCTAGGTACTTCGGAATTTGGAATTGCATGGGTGCACGGGGATTCCACGTGTAGAGGACTACAATGGAATTCCTCGTGCGGACAATTCCAATAGGACTGCGAGTGCAGAGAATTACGCTGGAATTTCTCATGTGAAGAATTTCAATCGAATTTCTTGTGTGGAGGACTACTATCGGATTCCTTATGTAAAGGGTTTCGATGGAATTCCGGATTTGGGGAATAAAATCGGACTCGTTTTTTTGAGGATACAATAGGATTCCTTGTTATAACGGAGGAATATTAACATAACTCCTTCTATGGGAGATTACAATCTGACTCCTTATGTGGAGGATCGTAAGAACATTTCCCCTGTACAGGAGTTATAAAGACTTCCTTTTGTGAAGAATTGCAACGTGATTTCTTGTTGAAGGATCACGACAATCATACATAAACCGCCATAAAGGGAAACATGTTGTCATCCGCCACAAAAGGAATTACTTTGGAAACCATCACAGTAAGGAAAGCGGATGTGCCACAGAGATGGGAGGGAGAGAAAACACAAGAACGACGCATGAAAGAAAGAAGGACACACACACCCCAACATGTACAACATGATGTTTAAAAACATGATAGGGTGGGGTGCCGGGATGTGCTACCATATGCATGTGTGTATATATATATAGATATATGTGTGTGTACACACTAGAACCACGCGCGCCTCGCGCGCACTTAGGTTCTAGCTGCTCGAGTGCTGACCGCATTGAGAGCAACAAGGCAGTTATGAACTATGTGCTCAACATTCTCTGTTTCCTCCTGCCTCTTGATCATTCCTCCTCCGCCCCATCGACAGGTCGACGGGTGATCTGTCGCCCAGCTATGGGCCAGGAGAAATGCAGCGCTACAGCGCCATGTTGCACTATGCGATGTAATGACATGATACATCATGCTACGCTATAGAGCGCAATGTCACGATGCAGTATGCAATGCAGTAACATGATATACTACAGTGCGCATTGCATGCCATGCCATGGTATGCTGTGAAATGCTATGAGAATGTATGGGATGAGACGCCTGACCATATCATGCTGTGTTTCCTGTGGAGAGCGATGCTACCGCGTTACATGGTATGCACAGACACGGCGGTGCCGGGCTATCTTCAAGAGGCCTCTTGGGGGCCGTTTGGGGTGCTCTTGGGGCGCATGTTCAAGCCTCTTTCGGGCCTCGTGGGGCTTCCAGGGTGCCTCCAGGGGGCCTCTTGGGCTCTGTTGGGGGCCTCTTGGGGCCTCGTGGGGCGGAAGGCTCGAATTGTTGGTTCGTGTTCCCTCTCTTTGGCCCCTCTTCGGGCCGTCTTGGGGCCCTCTTGGGCGATCTTGGGCGCCTATTGGGCCGTCTTGGGGCACTCTTGGGCCGTCTTGGGACTCTCTTGCGCCGTTGTGGCGCCCTCTTTGGGTGCTTTTTGGCCCGTCTTGAACTGATTTCTGGGGCCTCGTGGGCTGTCTTGGACAGTTGGAAGCACGAAACAGCGAGAAAACGAAAAACTTTCAAAATCCATAAAAACCCTAAGTGTTTCGCCTCCTGAATGCCTCGTGGGAGCCCTTTTGAAGGCATTTTGGCCGTCTTGAAGCGCTCTTGGGCTGCCTTCAAGCCATGTTGACCAATTTTGAAACGCTCTTTCTTGTGCGGTGTTGGGCTCTCTTGGAGCGCTCTTGGGCCAGCTTGGCGCCCTCTTGGACGTCTCTCGGGCCCTTTCGTGGCCCCCCCGCCAGGTCCGAAACGGCCGGAAGACAAATCACTGCACTCAGGGCCCCCCGGGACCCCCTCCCCATGTGTGTATATATATATGTATGTATGTATGTATGTATGTATGTATGTATGTATGTATGCATGCATGCATGCATGTATGTATGTATGTATGTATGTGTGTGTATGTATGTATGTATGTATGTATGTATGGATGTATGGATGTATGTATGTATGTATGTATGTATGTATGTATGTATGTATGTGTGTATGTGTGTATGTGTGTATGTATGTATGTATGTATGTATGTATGTATGGATGTATGTATGTATGTATGTATGTGTGTGTATGTATGTATGTATGTATGTATGTATGTATGTGTATGTGTGTATATAGTATGTATGCATGTATGTATGTATGCATGCATGTGTGTATGTATGTATGTATGTATGTATGTATGTATGTATGTATGTATGTATGTATGTATGTATGCGTGCATGCATTAATGCGTGCATGTATGTGTGTGTGCATGTACGTTTGTATGTTTGTACGTATGTATGTACGTATGTAGTATGTATATATGCACATACATATCCAATATGGTTGCATGTGTGTATGTGTGTATGTATGTGTGTATGTGTAGGTATGTTTGTGTTTGTGTGTGCAAGTAAGTATGTCTGTATGCATGTAAGGATGAATGGATGTATGTATGTCCGTATGTATGTATGTATGTATACGGGGTCGTCGTCGTCGCCTCCGTTTCTTGCGCTCGGCGCGCCCGAGCTGGGTGCGGAATAACATTGATACGATGCCCGTCAACAAACGCTGCCCAAGACTGGCAGCGGCCGCTGTTGGCTCAAGCCGACAACACTCACCGCGACAGTCTAGCCCAAAATGGGCAAGAACTGCGTCATCGTCCCGTCTTTTCGCACCGATGCTCCCAGACCCCCCACGTCGCGTTTTTTTCGCAACGTGGACCCCTGGAGGTCTAGACTCCTTCCCCGGAACCGGTTTTCATCCCGAATCGCTTTTTGATGGTCCTGGGGCTGGGCGAGGGCCACCGGAGGCCGAACATTGCCAAAAACCATCCGTCGTGACCACGAGAGGGCGCGGGGGTCACTGTCGTAGTCATCGCCGCCTTCGCCCTGCACACCGTTTTTGAGCAGGGACCGACCGTCCCAGCATTCCTATAGACCTACCACGAAAGTTTCATAGAACCAAGAGGTGTCAAACGAACAGAAGCAGCGTAGGTATAACATGAACCCATGTCGCAAACCGAGACTGCCTCAGCTTGAAATGTTCCAAGAACATCCCATGCAAATCACATAAGCCTCCCATAATCTAATTTGGTGGGCGTATATGAATGCCAAGACGCCTCGCCACCGCCTGATTCGCTGCCCCACTCCTTCTCCTCCGGATGTTGCTAAAAGTGCCCCTGGCCCAGGGTGCCTCCAGGATCACCAGGGAGGCCCCCACGGCTTTCAGAGGACCCCCACACGATGCCCAGAGGGCCGCAAGGGGCTCCAAAACGCAGCGAACAGCTCGGGTCGGCGGCGAGCCCAGGGGGGAAGTGAGAAGAGGCGGGCCTTCTCATAAGTCTCTGAAGTCCCCCGACCTTCTGAAAAGTTTCCTGAGCCTTCCCCGAAGACGCAGAAAACGTCTCCGAGGGCCGCAGCGCTTCTGAGAAGTCCCGCCGCTTTTGGAAGAGCCTTCTCCTTCCCAATTCCCCCCCCCATCGCTGGCCCCCGAACCTTGGCCCAAGGGCACCTTTAGCAACCCCCGGTTCCTTGCGCCCGGCGCTGCGGCTGCGGCGCGGCCGCCGGCTCCGGCTGCGGCCGCCGCCGCGCGTGCCCGAGCTGCCGCTGCTGCTCGCGCGGCGCCGCTCCTTCCTCCTGTCCTTCTCCTTCGCCTTCTCCCTTTCCTTCTCCTTCGCCTTCGGGAGGTTCGAGGGCCCCTCTCCCCAGGCATGGCCGCGCAGTGGAAAATCACGACATCATGTTTTTGGCAATTTTCGGCCTCGAGGGACCTCGCCAGGCCCCGGGATCGTCAAGAAACCACTCAAGATGAAAAACCAACCCTGGGGAAAGGGTCGGGACTTTCTGGGTGCAACGTATTGCAAAAGTCAAGACGTCGCATGGCTGGGTCCTTCCAGCGTTAAGGGTAGGAGGTTGGAGGTTTTCGGGCGTTGTGGTCGGTTCTTGGCGGTTCTCATGCCGCCTGTGGATGCTCTCCAGCAGCTGCGCCTTGCCGAGAGCGCTGTGGGGATGCCCGAATCGTCCCGAACGGTCGCCGGAGAGCCGAGTTATGACCCGAAAGCCAGGTGCGCTGGTCATCTCGTCGTCGTCGGTTATCGTCGTCGTCGCTTCTCGTCGTAGTCGTCGTCGTCGTCGTCGTCGTCGTCGTCGTCGTCGTCGTCGTCGTCGTCGTCGTCGTCGTCGGGCCTCCTGCCGCCTTTCCTTGGCGCCCCTGGCGGGCTCGGCGGCCTCCTTCTCCCTCCTGGCCGCCTTGCCCTTTCTCTCCTCCGCGGGCGCGGGTTCCCTCCCGGCCTTGCCCTGAGGCGCGGTTCCGCTCTTGGCCCTCCGCTTCTCCTGGGGCGACGCCAACGGATCACCCCACCGATCCCGGCGCGCCCTCCCGCGGCCCAAAGGCCAGTGCAAGCGCCAATGCCCTGGCCTGGCAGCGGATGCTGGGAATCGAGCAGTTACACAAGTCCACGTCGCTCCTTCGAGGGGACGAGGGGGCGCCACAGTTAACCCGTATAACAAGGACGCACGATAAGGATGCCAAGGCCTTGGAAAGCCATGTCGACCCTTTGCGAGCGGGGCGCGGCCAGCGAAAGCAGCCAAGGACAGACCGAGGGGGAATGATGCAAGGGTGACTTCGGAAAGTCATTCATCCTTGCTATGCGGGTTGACTGTACTCCAAGAAGGCAGAAAAGGGGGCTACGAGATCTGGGGAGATCTCGTGGCCCAGGCCGTGATACCCACCCAACCCAAGTCATCACCCCCAGCTTGGCCGCCCCCGGGAACATGTTTTTCTCCCCCTTCGATTCCTCCGCGATCTCCTCCGCCACCCCCTGGTCAGTTCTCCGTGAGACCCCTCACCGAGGACTTCTAGGACTCGCCCTCCTCTTCCTCCTCTTCCTCCTCCTCCTTTTCCTAGCACGTCGCTGCGGCCACGATCTATCCTCATCTCTGCTGCTGCTGCTGCAAACGGTCGGCGGGCCTGCGATCCAGCTGGTTCTTGATGGTTGGGAACGCACCTCCCGCCTCTGCACTCGAGATCGGCCTCCTCCTCCTCCTCCTCCTCCTCCTCCTCCTCCTCCTCCCTCCTCCTCTCCTCCCCCTCCTCCCCATGCCAGCTCCTCCCCCGCGGGCGGCGAATCCGGCGGCGCCGGCGAGGCCGGCGGCGCCGGCGGCTCGGGGGCGGCGGCGGCCGCCTCCGCCTCCGCGGGCGCGGGGGCCGCGGCGCTCCCGCCCGCGGCGCCCGCTTCGCCGCCCCCGTCGCCCCCGGCGCACGCCTCCTGGCGGGGGAGCGCAGGGACAGGGGCGGGCAGCCCACAAAAATCTCTCTCTATCTGGCGCGCTGCTCCTGGAGGGGGGGCGTGCTGTCAGGAGCCTGTGCTTTCCAGGACGCGGCGGCGGCCCCGGCGACTCGCTGTGCCCTGCGAGCGGACAGCGTGTCGCTCCGCTCCGCGGGGAGGGGGGCTGGGAGAAGCTCGGGGCGCTGGCGCCTGGGGACTGGGGAGTGGACAGCCTGTCGCGCAGAAGCAAAACTGGCGGCGCGACGCGCTGAGCCAAAATTCCTGACCGCAAGCCTTGAGATCTGGGTGTTGCGATTTTTGTCGCGCTGCGCCCGACTTCCCGACTTCCTGGTGCTTCCGACGCTATGCATATCTGCACGCTGGCAGTTCGACTCAGTTTCAGCTGCCCCCTCCACTCGCCGGTCCGCCGCCGAGCTGCTGCGTGAGGCCCCGGTTAGCCGCTCTAGGTGTGGCCGCCCTCCGTTGCTTTAGTTCAGTTCGTCGCTGCGTGCCCCGCTTTGACTGGACCCGCCGCCGGCGCGCTCGCCCGCGGCCGCTGACTAAAAAGTATCCGAACGGTTTCGGGCCCGCATCGCCCTCGGCGCGCTACTCCCTGGTGGCGGGTGCGGGCCCTAATCTCCAACAATATGACGTTGCCGCATGTCTTTAGGTGGGGTACTTGTCAAAGTGAGGGGGCTGAACCGAACGGTCATTCACTGTCCCTGGGTGCGTGGCTGAAGTGGAATTCCGCGATGCGGATTCTTGTTGTTGTTTGTTGATTGCTATTTGTTGTTTGTTGTTGTGGTCGTCCCACCCGCGACCCGCCGCGCGATCCACCCGCGACCCACCTCGCGGACCCACCCGCGACCCACCCGCGACCTACCCCGCGACCCACCCGCGACACACCCGCGACCCACCCCGCGACCCGCCCGCGACCCGCCCCGAGGTCCCCTCGGCGACCCACCCGCGACCCACCGGCGACCCACCCGCGATCCACCCGCGACCCACCCCGCGACACACCCGCGACCCACCCACGACCCACCCGCGACCCACCGCGACCCACCCGCGACTCACCCGCGACCCACCCCGCGACCCACCCAAAATTTTCGGCGCCTGCGGCGGGTTTCTGTTGCATTCTTTCCAGGTGGAGAACCTGCGAACCACCCGCGACCCAAACCGCGCCCGCGACCCACCCGCGACCCACCGCGACCCACCCGCGACCCACCCACCCCAAATTTTCGGCGCCTGCGGCGGGCTTCTTTAGCATTCGCTCCAAGTGGAGAACCTGCGACCCAACAGCGACCCAAACCGCGTTCAGTGTACAAATCAAAACTTTCGGCGCCTGCGGCGGGCTGTTTTTGAATTCCTTCCAGGTGGAGGTGGAGAGCCCGCGACCCACCCGCGACCCAAACTACGTTCACTGAACAAGCCAAAACTTCGGCGCCTGCGGCGGGTTTCTTTTACATTCGTTCCAGGTGGAGAACCTGCGACCCAAACCGCGTTAAGTGTCAAGTCAAAAATTTCGGCGCAATTCCTTCCAGGTGGAGGTGGAGAGCCCGCGACTCACCCGCGACCCAAACTACATTCACTGAACAAGCCAAAAAATCGGCGCCTGCGGCGGCACCGGGCTTTCATCCCAGGCCGTTGTTTGACGGTCCTGTGGCCTGGGGAGGACCCCTGGAAGCAGAAAAGAATCCAAACCCAAACCCCCAGGCGGTCAAAGATTTGGGCCTGGCTATTTGAACCCAGGGCCTCGTCCGAGGGTGATGCGGCTGGCGGCGACGCGGCGGGCGCCAGCGCCCCTGAGGGCGGCTCCGCGGGCTTGGGCCGCCTCTTCTTCGGGATGAACGTGTACTCTGCCGGCGTCTCGTAGCTGGCCGCGATGGTCGAAGAATAAACAACGGCATAAGTTCATATACGTAAGCTGTCGCAGGTCCGCGCAGATTTCTTGGTTCTGCGCAGGACCCCCCTGGCAGGCTGCGCAAGCCAGGGAGAGAGGTCCAGCTCAGATCCAATAAATCCGCGCGAACCTCCGAAAGCTCGTGCGTATGCAATTGTTAACTCTTCTGGATGGTTCCCGCGATAAGCCGCATCTGCTTCGCCTCGACGCCCAGAGCCTCCCACCAGGGCGGCTGGCTGGGCATCTTCAGCCCGAGCGTGCGGGCGGCCAGGAAGATGCTGGCCAGTGCTATGTCCTCGGGCTGGTGCCTGCAGCAGAGCGTCGTCCTGAGCGAGTCGTTCAGGTGGCTCCAGGCCCTCTGGAGCAGCTGCTGCGGGCACCCCAGTGCCCTCGCGTATTGCAGCAGGTGCCTGTGCGGGTGATCCAGCAGTAGCGCCACCTCAAACCCCAACTCCCGCAGCATGCTCTTCTCTGCCACGCACAGCCGCTGCTTCGCCTCCGCGAACTCCTCGCAGGAGGGGGCCAGCAGAGGCGTGGGACGCCCGTGGTAGGCGAGCTCGCCGTGCTCCCTCCACGTGCGCATCTCCAGCCTGTGGAAGACGGCCAGCACCTGGTCCAGTCTGCGATGGGTCTCCGCCATCTTCCCAGCCAGGAAGAGTGCCGCGGTGGCGGTGATCCGCACATCCAGGTCCGCGAAAGACTTCCGAAAATAGAAGCGCTGGAACATGGTTGCCGCGCTCGTCACGGTCAATTGCGGAAGCCGCAGCAGCACCCCCGCCTGCTGGATCAGCTGCACCCCGAAGCTTCTCAATCCATCCTTGGTCCGTGATCGCTGGATCCTCCATGGCCCCACGTGGCCACGGAGTAATCAAAACAAACCATGGCCAAGCTGGTGGAAACGACCAGAGCCGGAAAAGTCGGGCGCACCTTGCTTGCTGAGGCTCTTCAGGAACCCGTCCGATCTGTTCGGGGCCTCGTCTCGTGATGCCTCAGGCCCGAGAGAAATCCAGCGGTCACGGTTGGGAAGGCTTCAGGTTGCGCACAAGCAGCCCCTCACCGGTAGTCCCAGCTGAGCGACAAAGATAAAAGGATCTTGCGCATGATGGCACAGCGACCTTACGCCACGGTTTACGCGGGCCGCCAAACGTGGCACACCGCGTGGAGAAGAAACTCACGCGCGATCTTACGCGGGCAACTTACCCGCGAATGTCGGCGCAATCGATCCCGCTTTCTTCCGCCGCTCAGCTGGCCCCAGCAGGCCACCCGAGTAGCCCGGGGCGGCCTGAACACCTCAACCCTGGGGCGCGGAGCACAGGGTGTTGAGACCGCCCCAGACTGCTCGGGGGAACTGCTGAGGCCAGCAAGGACTGCCTGGGAGGGCCGTCTGCGCACAACCCGAAACCTTACGTAGGTCACCGAACTTCGCGCATCGCGCCCCGCGATGCGCGACCCTCGCGCCGCCGCCCTGGAGAAGGGCGCATCCCCAACCCAGGCCGCGATGCGCGAACCGCAATTGTCTTCGCGTCTCTTACCTTCACTATCTGCGCGAACCCCGGTCACGGTCCTCGGTGGCGGCGTCGATGCCGTCCTCCCTGGACGGCGACCTCCCCAGCACCTCCGGGGGCACCAGCACCACCATCGCGACCAGCGCGCGCACGCCCGTGCCCACCGCTTGGCCAAGAACTGCGGAGAGCGACGAGGGAGGAGAAGGGCGAGGCGAACGAGAGCGGCGGACTGGGATCGGCGGCGCGCCGAGGGGAGGAGTGAGAGGGGGCAGGCCTTCTCAGAGAGCGGCGGGCTTCTCACAAGCCCTCCCGCCTTCTGAGGAGCCCTCTGTGGCTTCCGAGAAGGCTCAGTAAGCTTCTCGAAAGGCTGGAGGCCTTCTGAGCCTGAGAAGGCCCGCCTCCTCTGGATTCGCCCCTGGGCGCGCCGCCGACCATAGGATGCTGGGAGCAATCAGCGCAAGGCTCAGGAGGGCGAAGAGGTAGTTGTCGATGGCAACTACTGACTGGAGCCTCCCATGCCATCTTGCTGCCTCTTGCGGGTCGACGCGGTCCGACGCTAAACGAAGCACTGCGCTAAACCGAGCACGCTGAATCGGCGCTTGCCCATCGATTAAAAGACGCTCGCGCACTCTAGCGCACGCTAAGGACGGAATTGCGAGGATATCCACGGACACGTTGATTTGCTACCGAGGTAGTCGCACAATGGCAGGCCGAGCCGCAAGAAGAGCGGCATGGGCTAGAAGCGCAGGGAGCCTTGCAGCGCCACCGCAGAGCCTCGAAATGCCCCCCAGATCAGCCGCGGCACGTCTCACCAAGAGTCAACTGCCGACCCCAATGGCCGCCTCTGGCCGCCCACGGCGTTTTTTTATGGGTTGGGCAACGCTGGCGCCCCGACAGAGAAGAAATGCCATGGGCGTTTCGCCCAGCGCGCCACCCCCTTTTCTGCCTCCTGCCCAACGAGGAAAGCTGACCTAGGGGCGCGCGTGCGCTTCCACCTCATCCTCTCCGCCTTTTTCTCCTCGCCACTCTGCGGGGGACATTGACTCGGAATCGGCAAGGTATCGAGGACAGATCGGTGACAGGCCCTCGATCGCAGAAACAGAGCGTTCCATGGCGGTTTGGAACACGCAGGCCCCGATTGGCGATGAACGGCGATTGTGGGTTGGTGTTTCCCCTCTGGGCCCGCCCCGCCCGTGCCAGAGCCCTCGAAACTCTCCATCAGTATTGTCCCTTTGCTGGCCGCGCCCATTTTCTACAACGTGTGCGTGCGTGCGCGAAAGTAGGGATGGACACTCGCATGCAACGCTCGCGGTGTCTATGTGATGCAACCTACTATGCACAGCAACCTGTGTGGCGCAATCAGCTCGGAGCATTCCATCAAGCGCAGTGCAAACCACCTTCCCGAACTCGAAATTTCAACTCCATTGCTCGCGCAACCATCCCACCCACCCACCCGCAATCTGGTTTGCAAAATCCATGCGGCGGCGATTGCGATGACTGCTTGGCGCTGGCTGGCGCATCGCCGCGGCCGCGCTAGCGCACGCAAGCTCGCGTGCAGAGCGGCCAGGCAGTCCGGTGTCACCAACGTGGCCGCGGTGGCGCTGCGGGCTGGGGACTTCCCAGCGCGTCGTGCAGGCCGCGCTGACGCGCGGGCACTTCCATGCGAATCGGTGACTCAAGCGGGCGCGGTACCATGGCGACGTCGGCAACAGCAGAAGCGACAGGCATCGGAAGAAATTAACGAACACTTCATGCCACATTCACCTGTCAATGCCCCCCCGAATGATCAATGCTGACGGAGGGTTGGATTAGTTGCACTTCGACCGCAGTCTTCCCCGCGCGTGCCAGCTTTGAGTTTTGGGGGGCTGGGGAACGTCCACTAATTCAGTTTTGGTGGGCGGGGGAGTGTCCACTAACTGTTTCCCTCCGCTGGATGATGATAGTAGCGATGCTGGTGACGACGGCGACAATAATGATGGCACAGCGAATGACGGCGCCGATGCTGACAACGCCGGTGACGATGATGGTGTCCGCGCGTCGGTGATGAAAAATTTGGATGGATCTCGACATGCGCGCGCGCGACCGACGAGGGCGAGTGGCCCGCATATTATTATTTGAAAAAGGACCCTGCCCTCCCCCCCCAAAAAACACCTTCGCAATGGCGCCCGACTGATGTCGACATGCGCGCGCGAGAGGCCCGCTTGGTCGCATGTGATGAACATGTTGAATACGCATGGTTTGTTAATCGAAAATGCGCACGCAGATTTTTGTTTGAAAATCACGTTGCATTACCCATGTTTTCGTGTGCTTTCGGGACACTCAATTTTGAAATCCTTACAAAACAATCGGTGTTTGAATAATTTCGGCATGTGCGCGCGACGACGCGTGCCCGTGGACTTCGTCACACTTGCTTGCAACGGATTCTTGGCGATGTATGATTTGTGTTGATAATCGGGCGCGCACGCATACTGCAATTTGACGAGGATGGGGTGGGAGTAAAACCTGGCCTAGCTGGAATGGTACTATTCCATACGGAAAACGAACGATGGTGCAAAATCAAATGCAGACTGCACATCCCAAGGGGGAACGATAAGTCCGGGGGGGTGGTAGAACCTGAATCCTTTTCGAACGAAAGAATATGTGGTGCAACCAGTTTTGGTCTGCAAAGAATTGTCAACGCCACTGCTCGCGCAATCATCCCACCCACACACCCGCACCTTGGCTTGCAGAACCCATGCGGCGCCGATTGCGATGACTGCTTAACGCTGGCCGGCGCATCGATGCGGCTGGGCTCGCGCGCGCAGGCTCGCGCGCAGAACGGCCAGGCAGTCTGGCGCGACCGACGCGGCCGCGGTGGCGCTGACCGCCGGGGACTCCCCAACGCGTCTCGCAAGCCGCGCCGGCGCGCGGGCGCTCAGTGCGAGTCGGTAAATGGGACGGCCGCGGTACCATGGCGACGTCGACACCGTTAGACACGATGATGATAGTAGCGATGCTGGTGGCGATAATGAAAATGACGACGGCAACGCCAATGACGGCGCCGATGCTTATCACGCAGGTGTCGATGCGGCGATGAAGGTTTGGACGGATTTCGACATGCGTGCGCGGCCGACGGGCGCGAGTGGCCCGCATGGTACTATTTGACAGGGCCCATGCCCCCCGAGCGCGCGCGCAACAGCGTTTGAATGATTCGACATGCGCGCGCGAGAGACCCGTCCGGTCGCATTTGAGGGCCATGTTGAAAAACAGGTGGTGTTCTCAAGAACTCGTAACAAAAAACGCGCATACCTTTTTTCGTTGCAAGATCATGTTGCGAAGCCGCGTGGTTTTCTACGTAGCACCCCGCAATTGCGGATAAGAGTGAGGGGGCGGCGGGGACGTCGGCAGTCTGCGAGGCTCTGAAGAAACCCGCCACAGGCGCCTGGTTTTTTTTAATTATACAACGAGCTTGCCGCAGGCGCCGATTATTTCAGGAGAGTAATGTGGGTGGGTCACGGGGTGGGTCGCGGGTGGGTCGCGGGCCGGGTCGCCGGTTGGTCGCGGGTTGATTGCGGGTGGGTCGTGGGTGGGTTGTGGGTGGGTCGCGGGCGGGTCGCGGGGTGGGTCGCGGGTGGGTCGCGGGTGGGTCGCGGGTTGGGTCGCGGGTGGATCACGTGTGGGTCG